TAATTTTTGATTTATTGTAGAGATGAAGTCTCACCAAGTTGTCCAGGTGGGTCTCGAACCTGCGGGCTCAGGCAATCCACTCGCCTTGGTCTCCCAAAGTGCTGGGATTATAGGCTGAGCCACCGAGCCCGGCCAACTAATTGTAAGTTTATACAATTTAATTGTATTTATTTATTTATTTTTGAGCCAGTGTCTCACTCTACCATCCAGGCTAGATAGAGTGCAAGGCCACGATCACAGCTCACTGTAGCCTTGACTTCCTGGGCTCAGGCGATCCTTCCACCTCAGCCTCCCTAGTAGCTGGGATGAGAGCTACCATTGTCAATAATTAAATTATACATAGATCAGGCACGGTGGCTCACACCTGTAATCCCGGCACTTTGGGAGGCCAAGGAGAAATAGTTGTTTGAGCCTGGGAGATCAGACTGGGCAGCATAGTGAGACTTCATCTCTATCAAAAATAAAAGCCAGGAGTGGTGGTGTGTGCCTATAGTCCCAGCTACTTGGGAGGCTGAAACAAAAGAATCCCCTGAGCTCAGGAGGTCAAGGCTTCAGTGAGCTGTGATTGTGCCACTGCACTCCAGCCTGGGTGACAGAGTGACACTCTGACTCAAAAAAAAAAATCGTAGCAATCACCTCTCCTGAGCTAGTATGAGACACACTGCACACACACAGCAGGAAGGAGTGTGGCCCTGAATGGTGCCCTCTAATCATGTGTCTGCCTGGAGCAATGCCCCATGGCTTCTGGGATGAAGCCTAAGCCCCTGGACCGTGGCTTAGGGTCCACCCTGTTTGTGACTTCAGTGTCACCAGACTGTCGCCTAGCCGTTGCTCCCTTCTCCCTCCACACCACAGTCCTGATCTTTGTCTTCCCTGGTCCCTCTGCCTGGATGCCTTTCCCCCAATGCCAGCCAGGGGAGCTGGGGGATGATGGGGAAGGCTGCCAGGCTCCCAGGCTCCCTCAGGGCTCCAGGAGGCCTGACCTGGCTTCAGCCTCTTTGACTGTCACCATCATCATCACAGGAGCCGCTTCCCTCTTGCCAGCGTGCCCCTTTCCAGAGGCCTCCTATCAGCCTGTGGCTTGCACATGGGTGTGCTTGTACACAGACCTGCTTGCATCCGGGCATGCAATCACCCAAAGGGTTAAGCACACTTGCTCCTGCTTGGATCTGGGTCGTCTCCTTTGGGGCTGAGGCAGCTCTGCTGGCTCCTCTTGCCTGGGGATGGGGGAGCAAGCTCCAAGCTCCCCGCTCCCCTTCGGGAACTCACTCTGATATACTGTTGACAGATCCCCTCCGCACTACTGCTGGGGAGATGACCAGGGGCCAACCATGCCAGGGTGCAAAGGCAGGTAGAGAAGCAAGAGGTATCGATGGAGAATGTTTATTGTATAAAATAAGAAGGGGCCGCCCCACCCCGGGCGCAGTGGACAGAACCCACCCCCACCCGCCCCCATCAGGGAAGCCCATCCTGGGGCTGCCCTGGACCTGCCCCTGCAGCCCTGAGGGAGACCCTGCTCCCTCCCGGCCTCCCATGGGGACCAGGGAAGGCTGGAGCCACACCCCAGAAGTGGAGGCAGAGAGGACAGGCTCCCCATCGCCCCAGCCTTGTCCCCATGCTTCTTCCCCTCCCCACCCACACCACACCCCCACAGCAGACTCAGAGACACCAAACATCTTGACAAGACAGCAGACTCTTTCCGGAGCTGTTCCTTCATCAGCCCCCAGGCCTAGGTGGGGGGCACTCTAGAAGACTGTGCACTTCTTTCCCGGCTTCTTCACGGGGGGTGGGCAGAGCACGGCCCGAATGGCCTCATCAAACACGGTCTTCAGGCCCCTCTGAGTCAGGGCTGAGCACTCCAGGTACTTGACAGAGCCTGGGGTGGCAGGAGGGTGGGCAGTGAAGGGGGGACAGTGAGGACTGGGCATGATGGGGGCAGCACAGGCAGGGCAGGCCCCCCAGTGTGCCTCCCTGACGTTCCCCTCAAGGCCAGCAGCGCCCACCCACCGATCTCGCGGGCCATGGCCAGGCCCTGCGGGTAGGTGATGGGTGCCAGCTTCTTGTCCCGCAGCCGCTCAATGGTGTCTTTGTCATCACGGAGGTCCAGCTTGGTGCCCACCAGGAGAATGGGTGTGTGGGGGCAGTGGTGCCGCACCTCTGGGTACCACTGTGGGGAGGCGGCTCTGACCCCATGTCTGGGGTCAGCTTCCCCAGCCCAACCCGAGTGGGCCATGGCTCCTGGGGCCTCTTGCCCACTGCCTGGGAGCCGTATTTAGGTCTTCCTTCTCCACGGGGTGACCAGGGGTCTGGGAGGTTTGTCGAGGAAGGGATGGGGAACAAAAACACCCAGCCAGGGAGTGTGGAGACATGCCAGGGCCTCCCTGGCAGGGCCCATCCCCAGCAGCCAGAGAAGACCCTTTTTCTCTAGGGCCGTTCCCACCACCCATGCCAAGCCTTCATCCCTCTGAGCCAGCTGCAGATCCCACCCCACATCTTAACCAGTCTTCAGCAAAGTCCCCTGTCCCATCAGGGCAGGCCTCCCAGAGTGGCCTCCAGCCATGTCCTACCTTGGCACGAACATTCTCAAAGGAAGCTGGGCTCACCAGGGAGAAGCAGATCAAAAAGACGTCCTTGGGAGGAAGGCAGGCAGGGAAGGGTCCAGATGGGATGGTCAGGGGCTCCACATGGCCTGGAGACCACTCTCATCTGCACCTCAGGTGCCCACCCAGCTTCTGGGGCTGGTCCTGCTGTCACTTACAGTTTGGGGATAGGAGAGCGGCCGAAGTCGGTCATAGTCCTCCTGCCCAGCGGTGTCCCACAGCCCTAGGTTGACCGGCTTCCCATCCACCATCACATTGGCAGAGTAGTTATCAAAACTGTGGAGCAGGGCCAGAAAGGCCAGGGCTTGGGAGGGGTCCTGGGCTACCCCAGCCCAGCCTATGTCTTTGGGTTCTCAAGCCTGCACAGAGCCGGAGCTCTGGCCAGCATCTCAGCCTCGCCCTGGGAACCCAGAACCGGGGCCACCTAGACCGACCTCAAAGCCAAGGGGAGTCCCATGCATATGCACCCAGCCCCACCCCCCACCCCCACTTACACGGTGGGGATGTACTCTCCTGGGAAGGCGTTGGTCGTGTAGCTGATCAGCAGGCACGTCTTCCCCACGGCGCTGTGGACAGGGCAAGCCCACGTGGTACCCAGGCCTGGTTTCGGCCCCTCTGCCCAGCTAGGACAGCTCCCTCCCACGTAGCCAGGAACCGAATTAGGGTGCCTGGGGTCAGGACAAGGGTCCCAGCCCAGCAGAGCCGCAGCGACACAGGGCTCGTGTGGACGACCAGGGCAGGCCGGGCCCCGGGGGGGAGGAGTGGCGAGTGAGGGCGCAGGGACCCCAACATCGGAGCCGCAGGCAGAGCAGCAGAGGTCCAGATACCCGGGGTGGGCGGCCGGGGAAGGTGGGGCCGGCTGAGGGTTCAGCCCAGGTGAGAGGCCTGGCCCCACCCACTGGGAGGACAGGGCGGCGGCCCCG